TGACTGTATTGACCAATAAGACATCTTGTTACATTAAAATTACTGTATTGACCAATAAGACATCTTGTAATATTATCATTACTGTATTGACCAATAAGACATCTTGTAACATTATCATTACTGTTATCTATATTATGAGTACCTGTATATATAATGTAGGTAAAATGCTGTTGTACTTACTTTGTAGTAGTCAGTGGTCTTGTGGATGGCTTTCCAGTTTCTACACAAATAAACATAACATGATTTATAAAAAAACAATATAAATATTTAGCAGCAGGAGATATATTGGAATAACAATACAAGTACTAAACATCTGGGTAAATTGACATGAATATTAAGGGTAAATTAAAGCACCCTGCATTGTGCAGGCCATATTCAAATGATAAGTAAACAAATAAGATTAAAACATTTCTCACATATCATAAAGTTGATTTGTCAAAATGCAGTAATGTGATGTTGAATAAAACACATTGACACCATTATCTTTATTGCACATGAACAGTTGTGATAATAATTCCAAATAACAAAACGCTGTTATCCATTGTTTAATTTATGTTGTGTTTTTTATTCAGATAATACAAATATTATTGACCTAAGCTTTCCTGAATATTCCTGAATTTCCTCCATACAAAATTTTACCAAAACTGGTGCAATATTACTCACCAAATGTTACACGTTTCTTTTCTTTTCTCTTTTTATGAACTCTATAAACACCCAGTGAAAATAGTAAGGATATGACAATCAGAAAACACAAAGCACCGACAATGGCTGCTGTGATTGGTGTAGGGAAACCAGTACGACCATAATATACAGGTATATCTGTGGAAAAAGGAGAAGACATTGCTACAGTCTATGATTTCTGAAGTGTTCAGTAATGTACATACTGCACCTAACAGATTCAGCTATAAGAGTTATGGATTTTGTATTTATGTCGTTAGATCTTCAGAGTTTACATGCAAGAAAACTTGTTGTGTTTGGAGTTGATGTTGTTCCAGTCAGTCAAGACACGTTTTCACAACAAGAAATCAGAAACTATGCATGCAAAGATGACATTGATGGTTAGATTGAAAAGCTTGCCAGTAAATGTTTGAACATTATCAATTCCAAAGAACTTGATAATCAAGACTACAAAACATCATGTAAACTCAGCCATTATGAATGTTGATAATATGAGTCCTCTGATTGGATAAATAGTAAGTGGCAATATAGAATCCTAGTTCTTATTGGCCAAAAGGTCCTGACAAGTCCCATACGAGTCAAAACAGACTGATCACTGCCAGGGATTGCTAACCCACTCAAAGATAAAATGCTAATTTCAAAGAGGATTTGCATTAGATTTGTTTTCCAAACTAAATTCATTGTTCCTAGATATTGTAGTAATTCTGTTTTTTTTTAACCTTTAAGTATTTGAATATCTTGTGTGCAAACTCATCCAATAAATCAGAGGGACATATTCTACAAGTGATTAAAATGGCATCAATTCTAATAATTAGATTATTTCTGACTACCTTAATTTGTCAGTTCAGATAAAGTAATCCAACTGATGGTCTTATTACGGTAACTAATGATATTAACACACTACTTTCTTTCAACATCCATTATACATATTTATAGTAAGACCTGCTATGTGTTGAGCCAGTTTCAAATATGCAACACACAATGTACTATTGTGCTCATATGACCTTTGACCGGACCCTCAGTGGACCGTAACAACCATTTTGTTTACCTACCTCCAGTATATGCTATGACCACTTCACTGGGTTCACTGAACGCTGTCTGTGTCAATGCAAATATTCTAAATGAGTAATGTGTATCAGGCAATAGATTCTGTGCTGTATACATCAACTCACTGGCAGCTATATCGTCTTCTAAGATTGCCCACTCTTTACCAACTTCTTTATACTCCACAACATATCCTACTATCTCATTGGCTGTATTAACTGGCTTACTCCAGTATAAAATCAATCCAGATCTTGTTTCATTTACTAACACATTATGTGGTGGACCAGGGCGTTTACCTGTTGAAAATTCAATTGGAGAAAATGTTATTGACATTCTGAGCCCAACATATGTAGCCATAGTAACAGTGTCTCTTGTTTGCACATAGCCACAGCCACAGTCGCACACCCCTCACACAGCCACAGTCGCACACGCCTCACACAGCCACAGTCGCACACGCCTCACACAGCCACAGTCGCACACGCCTCACACAGCCACAGTCGCACACGCCTCACACAGCCACAGTCGCACACGCCTCACACAGCCACAGTCGCACACGCCTCACACAGCCACAGTCGCACACGCCTCACACAGCCAGTCGCACACGCCTCACACAGCCAGTCGCACACGCCTCACACAGTCGGATACGCCTCACACAGTCGGATACGCCTCACATAGCCACAGTCGCATACGCCTCACATAGCCACAGTCGCATACGCCTCACATAGCCACAGTCGCATACGCCTCACATAGCCACAGTCGCATACGCCTCACATAGCCACAGTCGCATACGCCTCACATAGCCACAGTCGCATACGCCTCACATAGCCACAGTCGCATACGCCTCACATAGCCACAGTCGCATACGCCTCACATAGCCACAGTCGCATACGCCTCACATAGCCATAGTCGCATACGCCTCACATAGCCATAGTCGCATACGCCTCACATAGCCACAGTCGCATACGCCTCACATAGCCACAGTCGCATATGCCTCACATAGCCACAGTCGCATACGCCTCACATAGCCATAGTCGCATACGCCTCACATAGCCATAGTCGCATACGCCTCACATAGCCATAGTCGCATACGCCTCACATAGCCATAGTCGCATACGCCTCACATAGCCATAGTCGCATACGCCTCACATAGCCATAGTCGCATACGCCTCACATAGCCATAGTCGCATACGCCTCACATAGCCATAGTAGCACACCCCTCACCATAGCCATAGTAGCACACCCCTCACCATAGCCATAGTAGCACACCCCTCACCATAGCCATAGTTGCACACCCCTCACATTGCCATAGTCGCAGTACCTTTCACATTCAGTTACACCAAAACATATATCTGGTACAAGTTAAAACATTTACATAGCATTGTTTTCAAATGATAAATATGAAAACATGTGGACAGTACAACATTTTACCAGCAGTCTTCACTTAAAT